TGGGTGTTGATCAGGCCGTCAATAGAGCGCACGCAAGACAGGGGCCGCATAGTATGCGGGCCGAAGCAGACAATGTTCATGGCCATGTGGCGGACGTGGAGGATATGCTCCTCTATGTGAGCAAAGAAAGACGTAAACCTCTTGGGATTCATACCGTATGCATCAGGCTGTGGAACCACGAGAGGAAAGGAAAGACGGTTGCAGGAACCGAAGGATTCGACGCAATGACCCCAACGTTGGCATGTTCTCCTGTCAGCAAGCCCAGACAAGATACCCAGTAGTCCGTTCTTGTGCGGACAGGAGCATGCGAGACGACACGAAGGGCCGAGTTTTTGCTGCATCTGCATCGTTGATCGCAACCCCTCGTGTGCTGGTTCGTCGTCGTCGTCTTGTGCGAGTCGCCGGAGTGAAGTTGCCGAAGGTATTGAAGTGCTGCATTGTCTCGGGGCGCGCCGCGCGAAGGATTCGAAGGATCCTGTATTGCATGGAGAATGCACTCAGACTACGAGGGTGTGCCTCACGGCTGTGGCGATCGTGGCACTTGCAACTTGCATCCCGGATCACAACATGACAACTTCAGCTCCTCGCATATGCCCTCGTCCAGATTGTCGCTACATTCATCCGGTATCTTTTGCCCAGACGAACAGCTCGATACATGGCTTGAAATGGACCGGACCTGATATATGCCCGCAGGGATATGCCAAGCCATCTTCTGAAATTGATCTATGCAGACACGCATTGGAAAATCACAGACGAGCTTCGGCGCCAGCGCTTCAACGGCGTTCATTGTCGCCCTCACCTGACGACCCGTGCCCCGGCCTAGCTCTGAAGAGTGGCCTCAGTGACGGAACGCGTGCACCTCACGACGCCACCATCCAACGAAATCATTCGTCCACACCTCGATCCCGAGGTCCTGAAGAGCCTTGGTGCTCAAGTGGCAGTCGTAAGGTCTCTGGACGCTGGCGTTGGGATCGTTTCCCTCCGTGTTCGGCTCGACGTTCTCCATGGACAAGCCCATGATATCAGCGAAGGTCTGCACAATCTCGTACTTGGTCATCTTGTCCTCGCTGGAGAACTGGAGGATGCGAGGGAGGGCCGACGTATCCTCCGTGTCGAGATACTTGACAGCAACATCTGCAGGCTGCACGTTAGTCGTCAACGCTGCTCGGCGTGGGGGGTCCTGTTCCCTACCGTGGGCGACGCGGCCGACGTCCTCCGTGTTGGTCGGGTAGCGGATCGACCAGTGGTCCATCTTCACCTTGGCGCCCTCCTGGGATTTCCAGAGCGTGTCGAGCAGGACATTGGTGGCGCTCTCGGCGGGGGTGTCGGCCTGGCCGTAGAGGACCGGCACGCGAGCACGACGCCGAGGGCCTCCTTGCCGGCCTTCCTGTACTCGTCGAGCAGGGCCAGCTCGCCGTCGAGCTTCGTCTGGGCCGTACAGGTTGTGGGCCCAGTCTGCGCGTCGGTCTCGTAAGGCGCCTCGCCCTCCTGCCGGAGAGACGTAGCTCGGTCGAGATGTAGATGAGCAGAACCGAGCGGTCGGCGCACAGCTTGGCAAGAGACCTCGTCGCCTCGACGTTGAGCGCCTTGCTCGCTTCCGGGTCCTTGTCGACCTTGTCAGGAAACCTCTGCGCGGCACCTGATATTCACGTTCAGCAGCTACCATGGTTTGTCCAGTGAGGGGTCACCAACAGTGGACCACGACTCGGGGGCTGGTGAATTGCTTAGCACGGTCAAATCGTGGGTGGGCGGTGCCAGAGGCTCACCTGGTGTCGTCTATCACCTTCTGCAACTCGACTGCGTCCCCCAGGTCGACTTTGAAGACGGAGACGTTGTCTGCACGGGAGAACCCTGTACCCTTGACGTTCCACTCGCGCTTCTCAAAGGCCTTGACAACCTGTCGACCGAGGAGGCCGGTGGCGCCGGTGACGAGGGCGGTTCGAGACCCCATGACGATGAACACGAGTTTGGAAGCACGACGTATCAATCACGTGCGAGGTATGGCGAGGCCGCGGGAGTGTCGTAGTGGACTATGGTTGCCGTCGAGGTCGTGAGAGGAGCATACGAAGATTTGGACCCCGCGGTGGGGGGGGGCCAAGCTGCATCACCAACAAAGGTACACCTACAGCGGTACCGCGAGGGCCAAACATATGACGCAGCAGTTTACTGCACCTACCTACCGTAGTCTACCTAACATGGCACATCACCCATTTCACCGCCGATGGCACGCTAGTTATACGAGTTAGAATTGGCCAGAAAGGGATGAACCCGACACGTTGTCCAAAAAAGAATGAAGTTCACATTGTCGAGCTTGGCCTCGAGTTATGGCAGACTGATGGGGGACAAATTGTGGCGGGCCAAGGTACCGTACAATACTGTAGCTGAGCAGCAGCAGTCAGTATCTTGGGTATTGACATCCGCGTGACACTTCTAGACGAATATTTGTGCCAAGAAAACAAAATCTCTGCATTGCATTGATCAGCCGAAAAACAATTGAGTTTTTTCTACATATCCCAGTTGCATCCCTCCCACGGCGGACTGAGAGGTGGCTGTCACCGTCGAGCCAACGTCACGTTCAATCCGTCCATGAGCCGCCCAAAGAGGCTTAGCTCTCAGGGTGGAGAAAGCCTTGCAGAGCGACAGCCAAAGAGCATTGGTCGAGCCGTCAGCCTTCTCGACCTGCTTTGGGATTTTCTAGCCTTCAGATGGGCGACTGCTCAACCTCGCCTTTCGCAACCACCCCCCCCCCCCTCCCCTTCCCCCTCCGCTTTGCAAACCACGACACATCACCCCATCTGGCGCCATGGCATCCATATCGGCTGCTCTCGCCTCGGCACTCCCGACACCAAAGTACACCGGCGAAGACGACGCCCCTGCACACGCCCAGCAGCGCGGCCCGCGCATCGTCGGTGCAGGACACCTCGACCAGACCCAGGTCGTGCTGAGGGTCAGCCACCCTCCCGCGGAAGACCACGCTCGTGCAGCATGCTGACGTCTCACCACAGAGAACAGGACCACCCCCCTATGGCCAGCGGACGGGATGGCGGCCGAGCGGCCAGGAGGACTTTGGCGACGGCGGCGCGTTCCCCGAGGTGCCTGTCGCCCAGTACCCTCTGTCGATGGGCCAAAAGTCGGCGACGGCAAGCAACGCCCTCGCCGTCCAGGTCGACGCCGAGGGCAAGGTCGACTACGGTGCCATCGCCCGCCAGGGCCACAACGACAGCCGCATCATCCACGCGTCCTTCAAGGACCTCATCCCCCTCCGACAGCGTGCCGACGCCGGCGAGATTGACCTCGCGCGCCCCAGCCGCGACGAGGTCGCCGCGACGACCGAGAAGACGAAGAACGCCCTCGCTGCCCTCGTCAGCGGCGCCGTCGCCGCCCAGAAGCCCAAGAACATCAACGTCGGCAACCGCGCCGACCCGACCTTTGTGCGCTACACGCCGGCAACCAGATGGGCGACAACGCGAAGAAGCAGGACCGTATCATGATGATTGTCGAGCGCCAGCGCGA